TTACGACGACGCCGTTCTCCTCGACATGCGGTGCTACATCGCCTACCTTCGCAACGACACCACTGCCTGGGGCGCCACGAGCAGCGGGCTGCCGATCCAGGTGACCCTCCGCGCTGCCTGCCCGCCGCTCCTCTCCTACTTGTGCGTCCATTGCCCTGGTCTGACCTTCATCCGCTCAGCGCCCAGAGTCGTCGCCACCGACGCCGACCTCGTGCTCCTCCGCGTCCCAATCAACCCCACTGCCCCCATTGATGTACGGTCCTGGGAATACTTCTTATACAGGCCGCGAGCCCATCAGCTAGACCTACTCCCTAACCCGCACCCCAGGAGCTTCCACGACTCTGCAACCGCCCTCCTCAGCCGCGAAGATGGCGCCTGGTACGCAGTCGCCGCCCTCAGCGGTTGTTGCCCGGTGTATGAGGGCAACAGTGACTCAATCATTGGGTGGGATTTCCATCTCCACCTGTACCGCTCCTCCGATTCCGAGGGGTGGATCACCATGCCCATGTCAGTGGAGGAGCTCCTGAGGGACAAGCTTGCCCCGTTACCCGGCGGTGTGGCCGACGACATGCTGTACCACGAGACGACCAAGACGCTCACAATTGGCGGTGAGCGAGGTAAGGTCGCTTGGGTGGACCTCTGGCGTGGCATCTTCCTCTGTGACGTCCTCAGTGAGCGACCAGTTTTCCAAGACATCCCACTGCCTGTGCCAGCAAGGGGAAACTGGGGTCGTCTCCTCCAACAATGTGATCCCAACTATATCCGGGATGTTACCATCAGTCGGCACAAAGACACTATCAAGTACATTGAGATGGAAATCTGGTCACCAAAAAAGCTGATGAAGACCCCTGATTCTTATTTGGAATGGGTGCACGGTAAGCCAACCGTCACCGAGGTCATCCCTGCTGGATGGAAGGCCACAACATGGAGCCTGCCAGTACCGGTTGGTTCATTCACAGACTGGCAACCTGACTGTGAAGTTGAAGTCAAAGATGTCACCATGGATGCCAGCGACCAACATCATTATAACCTGCTGTCTGAGCTGAGCGGCAGCGACACCGCACCGACATTGCAGAACCTTCCTATGGCATACCCCACTATAAGCATAGATGGCGACATTGTCTACTTGTTTTCTAGTACGAAAACCAGGCACATGGAAAAATTGGAGTTGGTCATTGCTGTTGATCTGAGGAATAAAACCTTTCGAGGAGTAGCTGAGCTTGATGTCCAGAAGAATTATGTTGTCAAACCAGCCTTCTGCACCAGTGAGATCTGCATATACCTGAGGAAGAGTGCAGGTAACTAATTTTTGTGTTCTGCTACTCGATGCATGTCATTATGTGTGTGACTATCCGTATGAATACCCTGATTGCCATATTGAAATCCAGGGACATATAATGTTTGTTTTGGACTTGATGGTTTGGTAGGGTCTGAACGATAAACCTGTTACGCGCTAGAGCTTAGCAAGCTGGCTCACTTAATTCAGGAGCCACTGCTTGATTATGATTATGTGATGCAATGGGTGGCTATTCATGTGTGTTCTGTGTAGTGTTATTCCGTTCTATATCAGTTGTTTAAACAAATCCTGGCAATCCAACAGAAATAAGTTACTGAATTTGTGTTCTGTTTGTTGCAGCCCTTATTCTAAAATTGGGCAAACAGTTGTTGCGGAAATAGACTCACAAGTCCATATCTCTTAGTTTCCTTTAACGTTAGTGGTGGAGTTTGATGAATTTGAGAAACTATACGTTCATTTAGGAAAATTAGACGTGGTTGTTTGTCTACCGGAAATTAGACGTGGGATTTTGGTAAACAAGTTTTTGGAGGACTTTTAGGAAAAAATGTTTTAGTTAACTTTTCTATTAAGATAAGTATACACAATTTCTTGTTTGAATCTGCGGCAAGTTGTTGCAATCTACTCTATAGAAACTCGTTTTTAGAAAACAAATGCCTATTAGTATAGTTAATCTAAAAACTGGATTTTTGGGTTTTCATAAAACTCAGTTTTACATATCCATGGTCTAGTTAGATGATCCCAACAAAGTTTGAGATTGTTACACCAGAAACCACGCTCAAGGAGAACAATTTCTCTATAAGACGACATCCAAACAGACCCTTAATAATAATGTTATAATGGTAGAGGATGAGCAGCCAAGAAACCATGTACACATTTTCCTAGTATGGCCAGAGACAGTATTGAAGCTGCATTTGAGAAGAAATTAAGTTCCTCTCGGTCTTACTAGTAAGATATTTCACCAAAGCCAATCTGGATAAGTGATTCTAGCTGCAGGTTTTGGTGTGCCTTTTTGTGTTAGTAACTGACAATATGGGTACTTTTTCTTGCTGATGGAACATAATTCAGTTATTGCTCTTGACTATACATGAGCATACTCTTTGATGCAGGCACATCAGTAGAGCTTAAACGGACTAAAAGAGAAGCTGTTAAGCCAGTTGGCAAAAAAGAGGGTAAACCAACTAGGGTGCATGTGAATGAACTGACCTGCAGAAGGCGCCCGGTGAAGAAGAGTGTACTGGAGGTTGTTAAGCTGCTAGAAGCTACTTGGTAAACAGATGCAGGATGCAGAAGTTGGTGCTCAAGGAGCTTGTTGCATTGATTTATGAAAACTATGCCAAAAATAATCATCTGGATTGCGTTGGTTCCTATCTGTAGAGTGCTTGATTTATGTGGAATTTGTGTGGGCTCAGCTCAGTAGAGCTGACCTTGTCAGATAGTATAATCCGTGCAGGGACCTTTTGTTTTATTTCTGTGAGCAATGTTTTCCGTCAATATTTTCTTTCATTGCTCTTAAAATAGTTAGCTGAGCTCGTGGATCCGTGTTGCCAAGCAATTTGCTTTAACTGCCTGAGTCGAGCTGTCTAGCTTTGGAAACAAACCCATACACGCATGCCCTGTTTGGGTTAACATTGGAAATATTTGGGAATCCGTAGTTGCAGTCACAGTATTTTCTTGTGCACAAGAATACCTAACGAATGTACAGTATTTTGTACTGCGGAGGCAAAAAATGCAGTCCTATAAATATTTGTAGTCTCCGGCGTATCTTGCATCTCTAGCCGATCCCTTCAAAGCAATATTTGTGGCAACAAATAAATCGGGACTTTTAGTCATTGCCCAAAAGAATTCCTTAAACAGAAATTTTTGTTTTGAGAAATTAATAAGAGTTTAAAAGACTCCCTTTCTCCAACAAAATTATAGTATTGGGGAACTTGGGCCAAAAAACCAAAAAGTCCCTCACCACTTTGGCCAATAAAATTAACGAATGCTTGGAGTGCGCTTGCTAAGTTTAATCATTGATGACACACAACAACCGTAACCAAAGGTAAAAAACCCATCCTCTCTTACACAATTTCTTCCTATTAGTTTATGTACCGTCCTATACAAGATTGCCTCCAAGGTAGTAGCCAATCGCTTGAAGGAGATCCTTCCAGAGATTATTTCGATGGAGCAATCAGCTTTTGTTCTAGACCGTCTCATCACTGATAATATTATTGTGGCATATGAATGCTTGCATTTCATGAAAAGGAACAAGGCGATAAAGCACCGCCACTATGCTCTGAAGCTAGATATGATGAAAGCATATGATAGAATTGAATGGGAATACCTGGAGGCAATAATGAGGAAACTTGGTTTTTCTGACAAGTGGATGGCACTAGTTACGAGCTTTGTAAATTCAGTATCTTACTCGGTTTCTTTTAATGGGAAGAAGCATGACGAGTTTGTTCCAACAAGAGGCATATGGCAGGGAAATCCTATTTCACCCTACCTTTTCCTGTTAGCAGCGGAGGGCCTTTCGGGCCTCCTCAAATCCAGAGATTAGTCGCCTCAACTGGGTGGATTACAAGTGGCCCCCTCAGCGCCATCGGTTAACCACTTATTGTTTGCAGATGACAGCCTGCTGTTTTACAAGGTGAATGGTATGGGAGCGACGGAGGTGTCAAACCTGTTCCAGACATATTGTCAAGCTTCGGGGCAGAAAATAAACAATAGTAAGTCTTCTGTTTTCTTTAGCAAAGGGTGCCCAACTAGTGTCAAGGAAGAGATGAAAAGAGTTCTGAATGTGCAAAATGAAAACCTGAGCGAAAAGTACCTTGGTATGCCATCTGACATTGGGGCATCCAAAACAGGTGCGTTTAAGTATTTGAAGGATATTTTATGGGGCAAAGTTAAAGGATGAATTGAGAAACTAATCTCCGCAGCAGGCAAAGAAATTTTGATCAAGTCTATCGCTAAGGCTGTACCTGTGTATTCCATGTCATGCTTTAAATTGCCTAGGGGTTTATGTGAACACTTGAACAAGCTCATCCGACAGTTCTTTTGGGGGAGTAAAGAAGGAGAGCGTAAGCCTTACTGGGTTGCATGGAAGGATATGACCCAGCCAAAGCATTGTGGTGGCCTTGGGGTTTAGAGACTTGGGGCTCTTTAACATAACTTTATTGGCCAGGCACGCCTGGAGGATCTTGTGTTATCGGAAGCACTGAGTTCCCGGCTACTTAAGGCCATCTATTTTCCTAACACATCTATTTTTGAAGCCGAATTGAGTTCACACCCGTCACAAATATGGAGAGAGGTCTTGGAAGGGAGAGATGCTTTGCACAGAATTGGCAATGGACAAACTACTACGATCTGGGATCACAACTGGATTCCGAGGGAATCA